CGTTTTGGTGGTGGGTCTTCAGCTTGGGAAGCTCTGAACTCTTGAACACCAGCGTTTGCAATGCTCCTCTCCTTATCGCCTGAGCATCATCACCAAAAAACTAAGATGGAATGAGATAAAAAGAACAAAAGGAAGAGATCCTGAGGTGCTAATGGTGGAAGGTGTGAGAGTCAGTAGAAAGTACAGTAAAGAAACCCATGACAAGTCATGATAAATGGGTCGTTATAAAATTCATGTTTAGGCTGCACCAGTCTGGGGATAATGCCATTCGTCATGGCAACACTGGGGCACTAATGAGCCCTCATTGCATATTCATGGCTTTGGCGCCTCTCTCCTCTCTCTGCCTCCCTCCCACCCCGAACCAATGCCTGGTAAATATCTCCACCTCAAGCTGAAACTCGACTTAGGCTGCTTTTTTTTTTTTTATTTGTTATGTTGCAGCAATTACACTGTAAAAGTGCTGCACAAGATTGATTGCTCTGATCTGTAGTTCAATTGTAAATTAGAATACACATCCCCCTGGGGACACACGGCCCCTATTTGTGATTAAGAAAAAAGCCCCATAATAGACTAATAGCTAAAGTTCTCTCTCTTTTACTTTCAGGCAATTAGCTTGATGAAATGGCCTCTTTTTGTGTACCCTGGAAGTGTAAACCGATATCATAATGAAGTATATGATGTTTATTCTATTATTTTCACCTTGCCATGTATGCAGGAATGCATAAATAATGGCTGCTTTGTCTAGTACATTTACTGATCCAGAAGTAAACTCTGTCTTAAAGATGCAGCCTGTGATCCCGTAGCCTTCTGGACACTGTGACTAGTGCCTATAAAAACTCACATTCTGCCCAAAGATCTTGGAGACCATTTTTTGGCCAGGTGATTAAATACTGTTTGCAAGACACTTTCATTTATGATGAACCTTAATTGGAAAATCCTCCTAATAACCTTGTGGAAAAGAAGGTATGCCCATTTTACAGAAAGGAAAACTGAGGGGCAGATGCTGAACGCGTTACACAAGCCCACACAGGACCTTAATAAGTACTTAAGAAATCCTACCTCCTTGAAGGTTTTTTCAGGCAGTCAGAGGCTCCCTTTCCTCTCTTTTGTATAGTTATTAATGCTGTCATGGATGGGTCATGGACTGGCTCTGACCTTACTCTTCCTCGACGGCGTACGACTCCGCGGTGTCACGGTTGCCTTCAGTTCCACATGACACACACAGCTAAAACTCTTTCACCTGGATCCAAGGTGGATGTGGTCATGCCCATTCTCAGTGTTGTGTGTTGGATGTTGGCTTTCCCAAGGCTCAATTTGAGCTGTCAGTCTGAGCCAAGGAGTGGGGTTGTGCAACAGCGCTAGAACGCGGGGATGGTGTTCGTGCAGTTGAGCTCCAGATAAATATCTGGGAAGAAAACTGCCATGTGATGATAGCTCTGGGCATATCTGCCTGCTGAGGAAAGGTGCTTCTGCATTAGCCTTTCACTTTGGCCCAGGAGTGCACTTTTGAAGAGAATCCTGCAAATAACCCTGCTTACCCCATCCCACCAGGCCAGGCAGCTTTGGAGCACGCAAAGGGAATTCTTTAGGGTGGAGTTAAAGCAGGTGATGTGGCCTGGGAGCTGCAGCAGCTAACGGGAGCTCAGTCCACAGGAGCATGCTAGGGCTAGTCTGAGTAACCCTCTGCCATGCAGCGACTTGGGCCTGTCCCTGCTCCTCAGAACATGGTGTAAACAGAGCTTTCTTTGCCTATTTGCTGAGTGGAGCAGGGCTCCTATCCAAGGAGTTATGACAAACTTGGATAGTATGGTAGGGAGGACGTGTGAAATGGCCTGAAAATCCTGCCTGAGGAAAGGCACTGCTTTATGTACAGCCCCATCAGTTTGCCTGCAATAGATATGTCTCTATTTAGTTTAAATTCTATGTGAGAGGGGTTCTGTAGGGGAATACAACAGAGCTTGGAAACATTTTGCTAAGAAGCACTACCAGTGCAAACCTTCAAAGGGTAACTCTGTACATGGCTACAAAACCATATTCTGTTTAAACTTGTTCATCATTGTCTTCTTGCATGACAGCCCTGGCATTTAAAATATGTTAGGGGTGACACAATACTTTCACCTGGTGCAGACATATATCACTGGAAGGATGTTCTCATAAACAAAGTGCTGCAGGCTATGATCTTATCATTCTCCTCTTCCTTCTTCTCAGCTCAGTTCAATGACAAACACGTATTTCTCTTCTTTGCTCCAGTTTCTGCTCTACAGGAGCCTGGTGTTGGAGCAACAGGTGATGTTGCAAATCAGGAATGACAAGCGTTGGTGGTGGCCTCGTGGGGGGAAGCATCAGAGGGGGCAGGAAACAAATGCAACAAATTTTACCCCAACTCAGCTGGTGCAGTTTCATGGCACGGGCAGAAGTGCACTCGCGTGCGTGCCTGCACACGCGTGAGTTTTTTGAGAAAGACAAAGCAAATTAGAGTGTTCATGTGTAATTAGCTGACTATTAGTGTGGTTCAGCCAAGGCAATAGGCAGACAGTTAACTTGAAGATAGCTCGCAGATAAAAGGGCTGGGAAGGGTGTTCTGGGGAAAGCTGGAGGTAATAGTTCAGAAGATAAAATCCTGACAAATTGAGCAGGCATCTCAGAAGTTCTTTCCCCACACCATTAGCACAGTGAAGCTACACAGGCCTTTCCTCTCTGCCCTACAAAGCTTAACCCTTCACGGCATCTGGGGCTCTTTACCCTTGGATAGCTCACTTCTAAATTATTTAATTATAATTTCCTGTTTAAATGCATTAGTTTGAAATAAAATGGTGAAACTTCCTGCTCATGCTTCTTGCCCTCCTTCTTGTGCTAGCCTATGAAGCAGAGATTATTACCCCTGTAGAGGCTGGCAAACCTCCAGCTCCTTATCTGAGAGTGTGGGTGACCAGGTCTAGTGAAAACATTATCATTAAGCATCACACCTGGGGAGAAACCAAAAAGGTGTCCGAGTTCAAGTCTTTGCAACTTCTGTGAAAATGTGGGTGTTTTAGTAAATCTCTGTGCTAAATGAAAATGTCATTATAATTTTCACTCATTTTATAGCTGACAGGGAAGTGCTTTCTTCTGTCCTTTGGGAGTTTTCAGGATTTCACTTTTTTTCAGCTAATTCTGTGGCTAACCAGTAAGCTGCTAAAAAGTGAAAAATCTGACTGAGCCATTTGCTTCAGTAGTTTCAAAATATTTCTTTTTTTTTTGTTATAACTTATAAATTAAAAATTAAAATCAAAATATATTTCGAAGTAAATATATATTCACTTAGAATAATATGTATTGGGACTTGCAATTACTTTTAAAAGTCTTTAACATCTTTTTTTTTCTAGCAGAGAAGCCTCATGAAAACTGCATTATTCAATCCAAACCTTTTTGCTTGTTTGGCATTTTCCAGGACAAAGTTCTCATGGAAAACCCTAGCCACAATCCACTTTTATCATTAATTCAGTATATCAGGGTGTTCTTGTTTGGGACGACTTCTGAGAAAGAATAATTGAGAAGTTCATGCTGAGTTGATTCAGCAGTGAAATTCTCAAATATTGCTGTAATTACCCATACTTCCATTCACAGAAAATTTACGTTTCTCTAAGGCCTATATGCCTATGGCCCCTTCCATTCCTCTCAAACAGGATGGTTTAAAAGTTCTTTTGTTGAAGTAAAAGTTTATCATGGGTTTTGCACAAACTTTGCACTGTTTCTCTGTCAGTGTGTAAACTCTGTAGCAAGACTGTTAGAACTTTTTCCTGCAAGGAAGATGCACTGGGGGTGTTTCAGAGGAGATGTTCTTTTCTGTCATGCCAGACACAGAATTCACCAAACAGACAGGAAAACAGGTACTGTTGGGGTGGGTAAAGCCATATTCACTGAAGAACATATTTTGTTTTTGCAGGCAAAAAAGCACCTCTCAGGGTAAAACTTTTGGTTGATAGCTATTCTTTAACCCCCAAAAGAAAATTCCCACTGATACTTTTAATGCTTGTTTGTCCAAGCCTTGTGTAGGCATTTGTCACGAGCAAAATTTGGAGCAAATTCTCTACAGAAGAAATGAGGAATCAAGAGTGGGCAAGACTGTGTTGCTGTTTCTGTTCATCTTGAAGGAGGGAACCTTCTGCTGCAGATCTCAAGTGATGCTCGAGGGGAAGAACAGCACGTACAAGGAGGAGAGCCAAGTGCCTGCCACTAGAGAGAAACCCTGGGGACAGTATCAAGGTAAGGGCCCTCACCAGCCACTCAGCAAATGCTTTCCTTGTGACTTTTGCTGCCCCACTTACCTTCTTCCCATGTCCTGTCGTTTTCCTCATCCCATTTTGCACAATAACAGGAAAGCCTGAGGTTTTACACAGGTTTCTGGAGAGGGGAGCAAGCTTTCAAACAACTGCTTCCCTGAAAATAGCAGTTGGGTTGCACCAGAGGTCCTGCAAACCCCTCACCATCTCCTCTGAGAAGCAGCTCAGGGAGCTTGGGGTGTTCAGCCTGGAGAAAAGGAGGCTCAGGGAGGACCTTATCACTCTCTACAGCTCCCTGGCAGGAGGATGCAGCCAGGTATGGGCTGGTCTCTTCCCCCAGGTAACAAGCCACAGGACAAGAGGAAGAAGACTCAAGTTGCACCAAGGGAGGTTTATGTTGGATATTAGGGAAAATTTCATCACTGAGAGGGTGGTCAAGCACTGGAACAAGTTACCCAAAGAAGAAGTGCAGTCATTCTGCCTGGAGGTGTTAAAAAAATGTGTGGATATGGTGCTTAGGAACATGGTTTAGTGCTAGACTTGGCAGTGTTGGGTCAGTGGTTGCACTGAAGATCTCAGAGGTCTTTCCCCACCTTAATGATTCCATGATTCCATGGTCCCTGTGGCAGAAACTCCCAGCAGATATACAGAAAAATGTCAGAAGTCAAACTAATTCTTTTCATGAGATATTTTCCTTGTTCCTATCACTCAGTGCATTAGAGACTGGCAATAGAAGTCGCATTAAAAAAAAATGTTTAATGGTATTTTAAGTTGATTATGTTTTTGGTATTCTTTTGGCAGAAAGTCCTGCAATTTAATTAACTAATTTTGCTGCATGACAAAATTTTATTCACTTGAAACCTCTTTTGCTCCTGGTATTAACATAGTCTATAAATATTCCCCTCCTAAGAACATTCTCCATAACATTTGCTATGGTATAAACCTCAGCCCCCTCCTCCCAAAGAGTTCTAAATTTATCTAGTTTATCCTGGCATGGAAGCAGATACATACAATTACTGACAAGACAACCACTATCAAACCCAACTGTTGTTACCGAGACTGAAATTCTTCCAAAAATTAATTATTTAAAATAATCCAAACGGTGCAAATATCCAAAGATCAGACAGATCTATAAAACTTGCCTGTAGCAAAATCATGCAATTAGAATCATGCTCATAAGTGTTGCAGTCTTAAAACATTAATGGAAGGAGTTATTAAAATTGTATTTGATTTGCATTATTACAACACTGAATGCACTATGGAAAACTGAGTCCATGAGTGAGGTGCAGTACAAACCAGAGTCTTATTATTTGAGTTGGAACTTTAAAATAGACTGTGCTTTACAGTTCTGTCTGAATTTTCTTTAGTTTTATTGCTCTTCTAAATTGATAAGGACTCTTGTTTTTGTATTAGAAATAGAAAATGAGGAGGAGGATAAGAAAATAGTTGTAGATAAAGACTCAGAAAATCAATTTGAGAAAAAAACAATCCTTCCCAAAGTAAGTAATTTTTATCAGAAATTAGATGTGTTGTTGTGATCATAAGTGCCATCAGAAGCCCCAAGAATTGCAGGGTTTCTGTAGACAACCCAGGGAAAAATTGTCCCAAATGTGGAAGCAATTATAAAGAAATTCATGACTCACAGTAAGAATTCCTGGTTTTATTTCCATTACAAATAGAGTGTAATTTGTGCATCTCTATCTGACATCTTTTTATTGGGCACTTACCCTCCCTGACATGTTTATAAAATTACCTGTTTCATTAGTGGGACATCACCAGCAAATCTGATACACAAATATTGCCTTTAATCCAGCAGGAAACAGAGTTTGCTAAAGTCAATGGAATCATTTCAATCGTTTCCAACAGAATTAGAGATAAACCTGTGAGGGTTAAAAAAGATATATATATATAACCACTATTACGAAGTGTAAGAAGGAATACAGGGAATTTTCTTTGTAACTGAGATATTTTTAGGTTTTTTATTCTTTAGAATCCCTGTACAGGCACGTCCCTCATGCACAGTTGTCAAAAATAGTGTTTAGGCTTTTAGACTCAAGTTGATTTAATCCAGTACAGAAGTGTGCTCTAAATTTTTCAGGGCAGTGAAAATATGTAAAAATTGTGTCTTCACGTTCAAAAGCTCCATTTCATTCAGAAGAACAGTGCCAATAAATTAAATAAATGAGATAATTTCTATTAAAAATAGAAATAGTGTCTTGTAGAAAAAATACTCTTTCTTCTGAACTTAAACTATGTTTTAAAATTCAGTATTCAGATCCTTAGCAGGTGTAAATCATCACAGAAATTATGCTGTTACACTTTACATGATATTACCAAATTGTCTTGCTGGTAATTAAGAATATCCTCTATGGAATAAGGACCAATGACAGGAGAAAGTATAAGTTGATATTGTCTCAGCACGCCTAAGTGGTAGACAGAAATATTCATGTGCATAATCTTGCACCTTCCCTACATGATACCCAGTGGGCTGAAGTAATAGTGTACAGAATTATCTTGGAAAAGGCAATTCTCAACAGAAACTAAAAAATCTTATGAGTTGTCTGTGTTTCTCATAATTATACATGGCTAAAATGAACATAAAACTAACAGGCATGCTCTAGAAAAATGTTTCTTTAAAAATATTTCTTTAAACTCTCAGCACATTATACTCAAATGTTTTCCAAGCTCAAATTTTCTGTATTTCATTCCAAGAAAATCAGTATCCCTTTCTCCATTTCTGTCATGTCCATAACATACAGCCCAGGGAAACCCATGTCATTCCTATTATTCAGGAAGGCAATGAAGCTGTTCTGATCAAAGATAAAATTTCTGAATTTCTGGTGTAAATTTCAGGGGAAAGGCCTGAATTCAACAGAGGCTTCCATGAGAGCCAAGCAGCCACTCTGTCTTCTACAGCACAGCTCCTCTAACTCACCAACAGAGACCCTCTGCCAGAATCAAACTTTTCTTTAAAACACAAGTGCTCTCCTTCCTCAGCATTAAAAGTGATTCTTGTGAAAATTATTTTCTTCTGATTCTTGTGAAAATTATTCTCATCAGCTCCCTTAAGGACATGTCCATTATGAGCAGCCGAGGCTCAGGGCTGGCATTTCAGTTCATGAAACATGCTCTGACCTATTTGTTCAGCTCATGGCTCTCCCCAGTATAATTTGGACTTTAGAAATCACTTTTCTTTAGTTCTGGCTAAGTTACTGTGAGGATGCAAGATCTAAATTCCATGTAATGTGATGTTATAACCATGGAACATCAGCATACAGCTGATGACCAAGTCCCTATTTTCTGATTTTGGATAAAAAGGCCAATATAAGTTTCACTATCCCCCAAAAAATTTTGGAAATAGTCAACTGAGAGAGGAAAAAATGCAATGCATAATGGTGAATGATCCATGAATGCATGTGTTTAAAATGTCCTGTAAGTGCAGAGTAACCAGAATCATGATGTCATAAATATATGGCATTTAAAGGCCAAACATATTAAGACCAAAAAATATTCTGTATAGATTATGTGTGAGCATCCTTATGGCAGATACTGGAGGATATTCTAGATTCTAGCAGAACTCAAGAAAGAATTAGGCATATATGTACATATAGGAGGAGTTTTTGATATCATATAAAATGTAGAAAGCATAAAATACTGTGTATTAGAGGTCCCCTGAGCAAGAACTATTATCTCAGCATCAACTGCAAACACATTACCATCAGAAGACTTATTCCAAGGTATGGAAAAAATCCACTAACAGCAGGGAATAGAAACATTTGAAAGCTCCTCTGGAAGCCCTCAGAACCAGACCAGGATGCCTCTGTGCAAGGCAGGCTCCAGCAGCTCTGATCAGGCACTTCCCTGATCGTCATGTCTGCACATTCCAAGCAGGAACGTGCTGAATATTAGCATCTTTCTGAAGCTGCTTAATGTGTGAGGCTCTTTTTTAATCTCTTGGTATCCTGTCTGCTTGTGGAATGCAGAGAAGTGTATTTTTTCCCCCTTATTAATATAGAACTTACAAGTAAAATGTTACCTGTAGCAATGCAGGAAGAATTTTGTACAGAGGGAAAGTTCTGTGTCCTGCCTACTAAATGACAGGCACGAGCAGCTCCTTCTGTACAGCCCCCAGTGATCACATCCCACTTTGTGCACACTGGAGCTTTCCAAACCTCCAGAGTTTTGTGTTTAGCAAAGCAGATGTGCAAATGGAGATCCGGGTGACCTCCCCTCTGAGAAGCAGGCCTTTGACACACATTACTCCCCTGCTGACAGCACCAGAAGTGTGGATCAGTTGGCATTTCACACCTGCAACTAATGTAGAAGTTGTAACAATATGAGTGAGCATTAGGGAGAGAAGGGATCCTTTGGACATAAGCCAGCTATATTTAACAGGAAAGGTGCAAATCCACATTATGACTCAGGATATGTATGAGCTGCAGCCCTTCTACAACCTAGAAAGAAAGAATTATATCCAAGGGAACTTACCTCAAAGAGTTTCTCTTTCCTCAGGCAGAAGTGATGATTAGGCTAAAACTGGCCATTTGTTTTATCTGTGGGTCAGGAATAGACAATTTAGTCCTTGCAACTTCAGCTGTCTTGGCTCAAGACCCTGACCTACAATAAATACCTCTTCCAATCAATAGAGCACTGAACTTGGAGTACAGCCAAGGACCTTTCCCAGCAACTTTGGCCTGGACTGAGCTGACCTGGTAAATCTGCAGGGCTTGGGGAGGAATCTCACTGAGGATCCTGAGCTCTCCAAGTCCTCCAGGCCTTGGGAAGTCTGTGCCTCCAGTTAGGCTGGTGGGGACAGGAATTACAGCAGCTTTTCACATGCTATTTTCTTGACAGATGCTCTGCACTGCTCCTTGGGCTGTTTGGACTTTCCTAATGCTGCAGCACATATCCTACAACACTCATCACTGCTCAGGGCTCTCTTCACTGAAGCAGGTCTATCAGCTGGAGAGCATTTGGGGTTGGATGTGTTTGCTTCCCCATTTAGGAGTAGCAAATCTTGTTGGGTGGATAGAAAGGTACCACCATCCTTTTTACCAGCACGCTCTAGTCCTGAGAGCTCATCTCCTCTGGATGAGTTCTGGAGGTTTCTTTGCCAGTGTCCAAAGGTGGCTGCCCTGATCCCTCCCTACAGCCTGATGCCTTCTGCCTTTCTTCCTGCCTGAGAAATGTCACAACTGAATGAGCAGCTTCAGCTCCTCCTGCCAGGGTGGGAAGGGGCCACAGCAGCACATCTCTCCTTGAAAATCAGGGTGCAACCCCCACCAAAACAGGCCCCGGGCAGTTAGGTGACACTTCCTTGAGAAAGGAACCGGTTTGTCACCTCTTGCTTAACGGTGTCACCTCAAGGGAGAGCTGAGGAGCACCTATGGGCAGGACAGATAAGGCTGCATTATTAACAATATATTCATCTTGTTCTGAAGATCGTGGAATCATAGGAAAGCTTGGGTTGAAAAAGACTTTCAAGATCACCTAGTTCCAAGACATTATATTTTCTAGCCTCAAAATGTGACACAACTTTAAAAATGTGGTGAGAGTCTCACTTACATAAATGTTAATTTATAGATTGTCCTACCAAAGAAAGTAAAGCATCTCTCCCAACTCATCTTCCTGATTTCTCTTAGAAGATAAAACAGCTCCAAAGTAGATGAGAGTTGTCACCATCCATGACCCCTTGGGCTGAGAACTGTATGAAAACATAGAAAAGGTGTTCTTAATCCAGAATGACATAAACTATAAGTATGTGTGAACACTTTTGTGTAAGGTGACTGTATGTATGTACTCTGCAAAATGTATTTTGGATGTAGCTGAGAATAGTAGTGCACACAATTCAAAGTTACCAGGAATATTAAAACAGGTGGGAAAGGCACAGAAGAGACAAAGGAAATTGTAGATAAAGGCAGGAAAAAAGGAAAGATGATAGATGTGGAGACAGCTAAGAGGATGACAGGTGTGACAGGCAGGATGAGGTAGGACAAATCCAAATGGTTCATTAGATGGGAAAATGCCTCTCTGGCATTGTACCTTTAGTTTGTTTCTCCACAGTGCTGTTACAGTTCTTTTTCTACTACAAATGTAGTGCTGAAGTTCTCCTGATTAGTTTTTCCCCCCTGTGTAAGGTGTCCTTTACGCTGTGATGAGATCATTTGTGTATTAGTTCATTTTAATCTTTTCAGAAGGAATCCAGGAACTGCGGTGAGGTCATGGCTGCAGTAATGTCTAAAAGGATGGTTTTATAGAGAAGGGGAGGAATATTCCTCTCATTTAGCAAAACTGTAACAAAATTTGTGGCTCTCAAGTGTGCTGGACAAGTTAAGGTTTGGGTTTTTTTTCTTTTGCATGTATTTGCAAAGGACAGCCTGCTTCATACTCTCGTTCTTTCCCTAAGTATTGCATAAGTCTAATAAATGCTGCAGACAAAGCACCCTGTTAGAATTCCACCTGGACAATCCTCTAGCATCATCCCAACCCATGGCACCTCCTGGTCTTATTATGAAGAGAAGGGTAAAAAAACCCAGACTCCCCTGATGGCCTGAGTGTCCTCATATCAGACCTTCTGTACCATTGAGAAGTCAGATGCCCCACTAAGAGCATCCTTGGTCCCACCTCTTTCAAGGAGGAAAATCCTAGGGGCACCCCCCAGGGCCATGGTATCACCCTTTAATATGACATATTTGTGCCTCATGGGTCAACAGAATAATGTCAGGCATGAATTTGGACCATGACATTTCAGGAAATGACCCAAAAATAAAAGTGCCAAAATTTCACTGTTACTCTGATTTTCATCTCCAGTCTTTTCCACTCTCTGTGGACGTGACAAGACTTAATGATATAATTCTGGAAGGTCTCTGGATGGATTTAGTACTGGAAAGAGACATGTAGACAGATGGAATCACATGCCTTGCTTTGCCATGACCAATGTATTATATTTTAATGTGTTCCAGTGAACTTTAAAATTACTCCCCAGCATGCATTGGTCAGAGAGGTTATTCTGAGTATGCCATTTTCCTGGATCCTTGAGATCATTCCCTCTGGATCTGTTGGATCAACAACAGAGTGCTGATAACAAATGCACTGCTGCTTAAACCCAGCACTGTGCTTTCTCCCTCTTTGCTAAGTGGACTTTTGCATACCAAGAGTTACACTGCTCCTCTTTTAGCAACTTCAGGGCATTAGTCATGTGCTCAAAACCAGTTCCCCTTTCATATCTAGAGACCAAACATCTTGGATGATCCATGGGACACAGAAGACGCCACAGGCTTAGTTTTGCTCCAGGGGTTTGAGAGATTTAGTTACCCAGAGAGGAGTGGGAGATTAATGGTGCTCGTTGATGGTGACAGGGACCTGTGTGCTCTAAATCCCATCACAGGCAGAGAAGAACCCACCTCTACACACTACTAATATGCATAACTGTGGAAAGCCTTTTAAATAAAAAAGACTAATTAATAATGCTTAGTGGTCTAGGTGTCTAAGTATGAATTGTCAGGGATTTCTGCAGGCTCAGGGAGGTGGGGAAATGGGTTAACATTGCATTGTTTCAAATTACAGGGTTTTAGAGTGTTTCAAACGAGATGCAGAGAGGGTTTCCACACCAGATTTGAGACGTTTGCTCTCTTTTGTTTGTACTCAAATTTCGGCTTCATCTCACATTGTCATTCTACCCAGGCTGCTTCCCAGACCAGCTAATTTGTCTACCTGTGTTCCATTTTAGGCCTTGGTTTTAATTTGAGGATGATTCCTGCTAATACCAAAGACTGGATAGGACATCCATTAAAAGTCCACACAGCAATTGAAATGGAAAATTCCAAAAGAAACCCTATTAGAGTTTTTCTCCATCAAATCAACATTACAGACTTCTTATGCATTTCTTAATTAGACATTGATATTAACTGGACTGTTGCATGATTTAAATCTAGCTCTTAATCTCAGCTATTCTATGCTGCTGTAGTTTTTATGACATCCAACTAGTGACTGCTTTATGCATTAATCTATCTGGAAAACCACCTTCACATTTTTTTTGTCTTTTTTTAGAAGAATAAAGGCCCCAAGAAGGAAATGAAAGCTTTTGGGTTCAGCCATTAGTAATTTTCTGCTTAGTATTTGAAAAATTGCTTATTTTAATTGCTTCATAGAAGAAAAAGATATCAAAGCTAACGTTCTTTCTCTCCAAACTTTGTAATTATTTCTCTCAGACTCTTATTTGAAATGCCTTGAAAGGATTTTCATTGAAATGTAGATTTCTTCTCTTTCAAAAGTACTTTTATTCCCCCGTGCTTCTTTCCTTTTTTTTTTTTCCTATTGACTTCCTCTCTAGATTTAGAGCAAAAACATAGTCTCCAATGTCTGGACACTGCAGCATGTGTCACACAGATGTCCCTAAAGTGACATCTTCTTTAAACCTAACCTTCCCATGGCCTATAGACTCTGCTGACAATTTGCCTTAGGTCTTAGTCTGGTACCCTTGGGCTTCCTCCAGGGATAGCAAAGAAAAGTCATAGGCATTATAGGGGTTTGCCCTATCTGCTCATTATGAAATGTATTGTGTTATTTGCTAATTAATATCACCACCAAAATTAGGAATCTAATGGAAAAATTCTATAAATATGAGTGTCAATGAGCTGCAGCCAAGGCATAGGTAAGCCTTGTATAATTTTGGGTTCTGTTTCCAGCAGAAATCCTGAGTTATTATAAATTCCTGTAAATTCTGAATATCCTAATCCAGAAGGGAATTTACTAGCCAAACCCTGTAGTTAGTTCTGCATTGTATTTAAATGTCAGTAGCACAAAGCCTGAGGATCATGCTGGTCTCCACATGAATCCTTGACACCAATACAGCAATAGTAGCAAGAAGTTCTTTATTTCACCTATACATTTTCAGAGAGCATTATTTACTAATAGATTATGATCTGGTCAAAATGATCTATACATTCATTACATCTGGAGTGGGCTTTCATAACTCACAGGACCTGAGAATGAGGCAAAACTCACATTTGTTTATAGTGCTGCAGCTCTGCTCAGCAAGAAAAGGTGCAGAGGAAACACTGTCCTAAGCACTTGTGGTCTGCTCTGAGTCCCAGGTGATTTCTCATGCCAGCTCACAAATATCTTTAAGAGCCTCAGAAGAGTGGGGACCTGGCTGCCTCAGAGCCACCTCAAAATGCAGCTGCTCCCTTGCAAATCAGTCACCCCAGGAGCCTCCTGCAGTCGTGGCTGAGGTTATCTCCCAGGGGAAATCTTCCCAGTGGAACAAAACATTTTGAGAATAGAAGGTGGAAATGAAGCTAAAGCATTCTCAATATCAGATTTTGCACTTTTTTTTTTGCAATAACACATAAGGAAGAAAGAGAATAAGAAAATGAGTTAGAGGGAGATGGAGAGAGAGATGGTCTATTAAGCAAAGCTACTTTTTACTCTCTGAATTTACAGTCCTGATAGACATCTTTTTTCAAAATTACTCATTTTTTATATTCAGATACTCCAGCTTTCAGTACTAGGTCCTAGATTTGTCTGGACAGATTACCCTCTTATTTCCACAATGAAACTTAATTATCCTTTTTACATCTTCAGATACTTCCAGTTATTTCCTGAACTGTTTCTGGGGACAGAGAGCAGCTGATGGGTCAGTCAGTAAAGTAAATACTATGCCTCCCTACTGTTTTTAAGGTAATAGCCCTTTGGCCCCAGGTCTTTTTAGAATATTTTGAGGGTTAGTACATATAATTTGCTCAGATCTACTTTTCTGAGCTCTTTCCTTTTTGTGACTAGGCAGAGACTCATCATTTTCTCACCACCTTTCTGTGTATTACTTGGAAGCATCTAAATGTGACTAACTCACCTGGAATCCATAGAGGGATATTTGAATGCGTCATCTCTGAGACAAGAATAACTCCTCCTGAAATCCAGGGAGGAATTGACTGCGTGGTTTCAAACACCCCTTCCTGTACCCCTGCTGTTGCAGCAAGAAGGAATGTGTCCGAGTACTTAAAGCCCAAACGAATAAATAAATTGGTGCAAAGCAATGGTAGGAGCACAGAGGGGTGTGGAAGTTGCTGGTATTGAGTAGTTACTGGATTTTAGGACACTCTAGGTTTCATCTGTAAAGAAACCTCTAACGCATGATCCATTGTCACTACCTTCTGTCTGAGCAGAACTAACACAGAGCTGTCAACATGAAAATATCACCTAAGATAACCCAGGACCCACAAATACTGAACAGAAAATTATAATGAGTATCCATTCAGACTTTGAGAGTTATTTTTTAGCTTTTTTTTTATTTTTTTAAGTCTCGGTTGTTCAAATTAGAAAGTAAAGTGTTACAACTAATTAAAATATAAATTGGCTAGAGAAAATCACCCAAATCATCAGGAAGTAGAGAGAGAGCTCAACTGGGCATGTGTTATAGAATCCTTTATGAATTAAATGTTAAATCCTAAAGGGCTGACCTGGCAAAATAATCTTAATATATAAATAGAGCAGGTGTTGCTGTGGTATCCAGGTACTCTTTACTGGGTTGAACAAGTAATGGTCAAATGCAGCTTAACTAGGCTGGGATGAACAACAGACTTTGTATGGACTTTATATATTGTATACACCCTGAATTAAACAAAAATTCTCTTACCCTGGCACAGTATTGACACTGCAGTCACATCTCCACATAGAAGTTTCTTCTTCCAAGCCCAACTCATGATCCCAGCCTGCAAGCAGGAACCAGGATGGTTCAGTATCACTGAGTCTGTCATACCAAAACCAGAAATTAAGATGTCACTGCAGTATAAAACACAAGTTTCTCTGTCACACCCAACCTACATTTTCTCCAGATGAGCTCATCCTACTGGGTTTCCACTGTCCTCAGAGAACAGATAATCTGTTTCCTATAAATACAATAAAGAGTGCTTCAAATGACATGACATTTTTTCAATTCATCATTTCAGTGATTCAAAATAAGTGTGGAAGGAAAAGATGCTGAAAGCAACAAGAAGCAGGAGCCCAGAACTGAGGAGCTCAGGAGGCTGAGTTCCCATTTTTGTTGTTGATGGATTCTCCCATCTCAGACCTGTCACGTGAACCTTCAGCCTGGGTGACTTTACCTGCCTCCACAGAATTCTGCAACCCTGTGTGCTGCACAATAAACTGGGTCCTGATCTCATCTCTGCCCTCACTCCCTGCAACTGGAAAAAGAGTGATAAAAAATAATAATAAGCCCAGAATAATTATGTATTGTCTTTATAGTGAAACAGGCCTTGAGCATGGTGATCTCTCCACTGGGAGAAGTCCCATTTAAAAAATCTCCCTGGCATAAAAATGAATTGGATCCTGTTACATGAATGGCCTGTGTTTACTATTCTTTTCACTCACCTTCCAATTGTTCATTTTCTGAGCTGACTTGTGCCTCTTCCTCTGCTGTCAGCAGGAATTGGGTAACAAGAACTTGCTGGAAATGGAGTGGTAAACAAATAAGCAAACACAGAAAAGAACCTGCTGACTTGGCAGATGCACTATTACAACCAAGATGTAAAACTATCAAACAAAAATTGCAACTTCTGAATGTCTCATGACTCACATCACAAACAGTAAGGGAGGAAACTGAAAGAGGATTTTGATCAGTGATAATGAATTTGGAACAACACTGGATTTTGAGATCATAGGAAAATCAGGACAAGTCTGGGTTGAATTCTTGGTCTGAATCAAATATTGTTCTTCCTGTAGCCATCAATCACTACATCCATTATCTGTAAAAAGGCAGCACTTGGACTATCCCAATAGCAATGACCACTCTACTATAACAAGAAAATCAGTCAGCATCTTTGCTCTAGGGTAAGGAAAATATTTGGACACTTCAGGAGTAGTCATTTCTCCTCCCAAGAGTCCAACACCTCTAAGTGTGTTACCAGGGCTCCTTGCTTCATCTGTTTCAATTTTGAAGCTCTTGGAAAAGGTAACAGTTCACAACTGCTGCAATGGTCTTGCCCCAGGGAGATGGACAAAACAGCAGGGCAGAGGCAGAAACACCACAAGGAACCTAACGGATGTTTTCTTGGGAAAAAAGAGGAGATTAATTAAAGGGGAAAATCTGCTGGTCATTAAGTGTCCTGGAGCAAGTATTGTGACACTGAAGCAGTGAGTTTCTGTGTGGCTTTAAGACATCTGCCCTAAGGAAACATTTGCAATTGAAACTGTGTCCTCTTTTTCCCAAGTCTCGGATTCCCATGGGCCAGCAGTTGCCTTGCTAAATGAAATGCTTCTTTAGGGAGACTGGCTGGCCCCAGGGACTGGTAATGCAATATAGAGCCTTTCATCTCTCACCCATGAACCCAAGTCAAACAGAGTTTGGTAAATGGCCAATAACCCCTACCATTCCAGGGCTGTTTGGTGACCTGTGCGAAATGAGGAGGGTCATCTCTGTGTCTGTTTACTAGAAGGCAAGTGTCAACTTCACCATAAAAAAGGACACAGTTACTACTCATTATCACCCAATTTAACATTCTGAAGACAAGAGAATGAGCCTGGAAAACTCAGCCATCTTCTGACCCAACCATGGCGGTCCCAGTACATCAGGGCTTGAAGAACATTAATGAGGACAGTTGCATTGTAGCAAACCAGGCTGTGCCTCTCCTGCCAACAAGAAATCCAAGTCTGAGCTGCTCTCAGCTGCATGTGATTACAGTCCTTCCCAGATCCACATGGAAATTCACAGGACTCAGTTCAGTTTTGGGGGGCATCAGGCACTAAAGCACAACCATGAAGTTTGCAGACTTCTGCAAATCTGCATTTATGGTCTTAAATATACACAGGCAACTTGCAGAGGGACCCAGAATCCAGCAGTGATAGAGTTAATGTGCTGAGAAGCCCTGCACTGAAAGTCTCTGTTCCCTCACCCATCGTGAATATAGTGTTCTGGTTACCAAAATAGCTGTATTTGGAAGGGTTGAAGGCCAGAAGCTCACTGCAGTACCCACTCTTGCCCTATGCACTGCTCATTTTAAGGTCAGACCTTTAGCATCAGGAATCTGTTAGAAGAAAGAGGAATCGCTTTAAAAGTTGTTGCCACTCTGGGGATTACCCTGGAAGGTCTGAGAGGGTAAAGGAAAGGGCAGGGGCAGATAAACACTTGGCCACATGAAAAATCAGCTGCCCCTAAATTTCAATACATCTGCATAAACCTCCCAAAACTGCAGCCAGCTTGTTCTTCCTCAGTGTTCCTGGTCACCTCTCTCATTTTGCAGCCCTTCTCATGCCACAGCAATGCTAACTCTGTCGTTGTCAGCTGAGTTACTGTTTAATCCCTCCTATCTTGATTAATTGCATTAAATTGGTATACCTATGTTAATTAAACAGAAGCTGGCAGAGGCAGCTTTTACTTCTTGTTCTTTCGTGTAGATCATTTCCCAGGGCTTCACAGGTTGTGGAAAAATAACAATACAGACAGACCACACATCATATTTCAGCACAGCTGATAAAGCTATTTTACTCATACAGTGGTCCATGATTCTTTTTGCATATCTCCGTATAGGTTTAATTACCATGCTGCTGCTGCATGGCAGCTCTTCTCGCGTTTTCTTTTTTTTTTATTTGTATTATTTGCAAGTCATAATCATGTTTTCCTGTCATCCCCGAGCAATGTGCATGCGTGCGTACAGGCAAATGCCAAGCCTGGAAAGGAAATTTGATGCGTGTCCATGAATTAGAGTTTTCAAACTTTGGCTGAAGATTAGTACATGTAAACATAGCTCTGCCCCCTTCATCTTGGATAATTGGTCACAAATGCTACTTGACACTTCTCAAATCAGACACTTTACATACTTCTGAGCATAGCTGAACTTTTTTGGCAGGAATTAATTTGCTTTGCAACTTAGCTGCTCATTCCTGGCCCGATCCCTGCTCCAGTGATTTCAGGGCAATGTTCTGCCAGTGTGAGGAGCACAGAGGCAGGACCGGATCTGTTTGCTAGCGCAGACGAGCCCGGCTTTGTTGACTGCCTCAGAAAAACAATTACTGCAGCTAATGCTCTGCCCTTTGCCAGCCTTGATTAACATGGGGATTTTTACCTTCAGGCCCCTCTTTCTATTCCAATTACTGAGCCAGTTACAATGCATCAGGGGACATCTCAAAAGAATGGAGAAGGCGATGTAGCATCACCAGAAAATGCAACTTTTGAGACTCCAAGACCCTTCCACAGCATTACCAGCTTTATGGGAGATGGTCACAGACACATCCAAGGAGACTCTCCCACTTTTTTTCCTGCCCCTCCTGCAAACAGTGGACGCTCCAGCAGAGAAGGGAAATCCATTTCTGGAGTAGTGATGGAGTTTGAAGCAGGCACAGAATTTTGTGCTATTAAGGAGCCCCCTGTTTGCTCTGACAGTTCAGCGTGTTTACTCACCGTGCACCAGTACTGCGAGAGCTGAGCAGACCATATGCTCACTTAGAAGGACTGCCAGGTCTCAGGGAGCACTACTGTGCCTATTCCAGGAGGAGTCTGGGGCAAGAACACATTCCATAAAGGATTTCACTAGGAATATTGTGTTTTATCTGGCGATTTATTTCTGTCCAGTCTCTGGACTAAGTGGCAGATTATCAGCATCCCCATGTAGATCTATGAATAACCAGTGGAAAATCTAATTTGCCCTTTATTCACTGGGATGTTGATAAGCTGCAGCATATTAAAAATATTTGTCAGTTTGTTCTTCTCAGCTATCAAGTGGGGTATGTGCCAGCATGCCCTCCTCACGCTGGCTGCTTCTCCGAGAAAATGGAGAGAAAATGATGAAACAATGTTGGTTCTAGAAGAGGGTGAGCATTTGTATGAGTTATTTTAGGATTATTGTCTTGCTGCTAAACTAAAACTAAATCTGTAAATTAGATTGAGCTCCTACCTGCAGAAGCAAAGGGTGGAACTTTGTGCTGTGCTTCATGTGTAGAGAAGAGCAAATCCCTGGTGGTGCACTCATGTTTCCTTGTTTCTCAGGGCTTCCTGCAGCTGAAAGCACTGATGAGGAGTAGCCAAGACAGAAACAGTCCCCACCTCTGGCCTCTGGTGGCTTGTGCCATGACCAAGAGCTGAGCCACAGCCCAGGGCTAGGGAACCAGCTGCATCAGCCACCTCCCTGAGTGCTTGGTCCCCAGGCTTTCCAATCAGGGCCTTGTGATGGTTCATCTCTGGAAAAGAAGGGTAGTTCATGTTATCAGAAATATGGCAGATTCACTGTGGAGAAGCAATAATTGCCCCAGGATTTGTCATGGAATAATTAAAAAAAAGACATGACATTTTAGTATGTCTTGAGTTTTTATAGATTCATACTTTAAAATAAACAAATTGAGATGTATTTTGCTTCCTTCTGTTTAACTCTGATATTTGAATCACTGTGGGAGTGGTGGGTATGATATTTCTAGGTGAACAAGGCAACAATTGGCCAAGAGATACAGCACAGCTCTGAAGTCTGAGCTAAAGAGGATGTTTGGTTTCTATTACTATTATCTATCACTATAAATTTAGCTTTCAGGTCCTAGACATTTTAAAATAACATGTCTAGTTTTGGAATAGGAGACTATCAGAAAATGTGAATTACAGGTTACAGGCTTCCAGGATTTGCAGTAAAAGAACTATTACAGTAATTACACCTGTAGAGTACTCATTTATGTTGTTATTAGGGGAAAGAGATGGGAGAATTAGGATGTATGGAAAGAAAACATTGCAGAAGGAGAGCTAAGTAGTTTAACTGGGACAAAGATCTGTGATGGCTCTTGGTCACACTTGTGTTTTCAGCACTTGAAGCACCATGTGCATGAGGACCTGCAATGTCCAGGGATTTAGGTGAAACCACTCTGGATCACCAATATCTGGTACAAATGGACACAAACCTCAGCCCCCAGGACAGCCCAGCCTCACACTCAACCCCCAGACTGGGAGTTGATATGTTTTTGTACCATTGGCCTTTGCTGGGTGCAAATGGGGATTGACCAAGTGACTCCATGAGCTCCATTCTTCAGAGAAAAAAGTCCTTCCCCATCCTCAAAGAAAATCAAACCCAGACTCTTGAACATTTGAAATAAGACTAGAATAAGGAAAAACAAAATGTTTCTTTTCAGGGGAGAGGTGAATCTCCATTTTGACTCATTATTTTGTCAAGGCTAAGTGGCCATTATTAATCCGTTGGTACTTGCTGGTGTAAATCCACTCTGTCACATCCTGGATGTCATTACTTAAAGTCAGCAAACTCATGCTTCAGTGGCTGAAGATTTGCTTGCTTAATGCCTGGTTTCATCAACAAATTCAGGCTGGCAATGACATCCTCCTTGTCCAAGCTAATATACAGCCTTGCACTGTCCTTGTTTCCCTGCCCATTCAAACTTATGGCTCTGTGTTAGTGTCTACCAAAACCCAACATTTCAGCTGAAGAGAATGAAGTGATGAATGAACATGAGGTTTGCATGTAGATAATTAGAAGTCTGGCTGGGTAGATCACATTATTTAATGTATCATCATTATGTTTGTTTTTAAAAAGCATTTAAAATATATTATTTCTTATATTACTCCATCTCTTCAGTGCTCTGACTCCAGGCATGAATCGTGCTGTGTGTTTTGGTAGAGATTTGTTTTCTAAAACATGATAGAACCATGTGGATATTAAATCATGGCTGTAAAAACTGAGTTGTCCTTACTTGAGGAAACTCTTGTGTCAGGAGTAAAAGTCCTTGTTTGGCTGTGCTGCAAGAAGCAGGATGATATTTAATTATGACAGCTGAAACTCATCTCTGAGTGCAGACAATATTGATTTGTTCTAATATAGAAAAAGTGGAATTAAAAAGCTGATTTATTTAGAAATTTACGTATTCCTAAAAATGTCTGTTCAGCTCATTTTTAAATTTGATTTCTTATCCCAGGTGAATTACACTGCATTTCTGAATCTCAAGAACTGCCTGTGCCTGATAACAGCTGATCGAAGTACCAGCATAATTCAGTTGTTTTGATTGTAAGATTTTCGTTTGCTGCTTTATTGGACAATGGTGTTTGCAAAAGAGGTGAAGAGCACCAGAGATGGAATTACAGCCCGCAGCTGGTACATGAGACTTAATATTAGGATAGGACCATAGTCTATAGGTCAGTGGCAAATGATACCAGCTAACAGGCAAAATCAGAGCCTGGTTCTGAAAAAAAACAGCAAGGAAAGTCTGTGCCAGTATCCCAGCATGACAAATGAACTTGGGCAAGTTGAAGATAATCAGGATTATTTAATATTCCACAGCTTTACAACTTGATACTCTGTGGACAAAAGATCAGAAGTCTGCTGAATCCAAAGTTTTGAATCTTTGGGTCAATATGCTTCTCATGTCTTCAACATTGTTTAATTTAGGAGGGAACAGTTCTGAGCTAAGATAAGATCTTAGACAAAATTGACGTGGACTCACAACATGGCCTAACATAACAATTTAATCTATCCTGTGCTTCCCCTGAAAGAAGGCTTAATAACTGTGGTATGATTTCACCTGCTGCTTCTAACATTTGCTCATTCTTTTTTCCTGAGCAAATTTGGATTATCAGATGGCGAGAAGCTTTGTTCATGGTAGACAAACTTGAATTCATTTAGGATTAATAACAATAGGTTCAATCTTGGATTCAATGGCAGTTCTTAATGAATGGAGTCTTTGGAAGATAAATGTTTGTTTGTGTGAAAAGAGAAATAATTAATTCTCCATTTTTCTGGGTATGAGGTGATTATAGTACATATCACAAAATGTTTTCCCTCTGTTTCCAGCCCTGGGTATAAGAACTGCAGGAATGTTCCCCAAGCCCCAGCATTGCAGATATGAGCCATTTTGACCTTGTCATTTCAAAATCTGAATTTTGCAATGAATTGTTTGTGTGAGAAAAAAATGTATCTCTTACTCACAGTACTCTCAGGTCCTCCTGGTGATCTGATGCAGGGCAGCGAGGAGGGAGGGAGGAAGGTCCACGTCGCTGCGATCCATCAGCAGCCGTGGGTCAGCACAGGGTTACTTGGATGAAGGAATCAAGGCTGCATCTGGATTGTGGCCCAATCCTCACCATTGTCTTAGACATGGGCATCTTCCAAATTCCTGTGGGAAATCCCACGTTCTTCATTACTGTCCCTGTCTCTTGGGAAGCAGCCGGAGCCCACGCGACCACCGTGCCCGGCCAGGAGAGGCTGTGCTGCCCAGCACCCGGTACCCGCTGACCTCAGGAGGAATTAACAGGCTTCAGCAAACGTACCCTGCAGGCAATTTTACCCTGGAAAAACATCACCCACATTGCTAGAGTTTAGGACAACAAATTAGAGCTTTTAATATGCACTGGCCGCTTTTTTTCCCCCCCCATCCCCACACCACCACCATCCCCCCTCCCAGCCCAGTACGATCCAGTTGCTTAATTCCATTTGAAATCACCCGGGTTAGGCACCTAAATAATCTTGTCCTTCATGCCTGTCAACATCTTGAGGCACCTAACCACCTTTAGAGATGTGGTGTGAAAGCTTGTGAACGATGCAATCGAGGAGGGAAACAAAAGACAAGTATCCCTATTTGCTGCCCAAGAATCCACAAAGAATGCTGCTTCAGCTCTGCTCTGATTTCTAATTAGATTATGAGTGATGTAGGACTCTGAAGCCAAGCTGGAGTTTGTGCTAGCACTTTGCATGTATGAATGACAAAGGGACACCACTTTCATATTGATTTAAGCAAGCCAGTGGAAGAATGTTTAAACATCAAGTGCTTGATGTCCCAGTTTGCCAGAGCACCTGGAAATATCAAATTAATTCCAGGTGTTCTGCCATTAAGACAGGCTTGCTGCTTTTACAGCCACACATACAAAATGTGGCTCCCAGTTCCACAAATAAAAACGGAATGGTTTCTGCTCCTAATGCCTCGATAACTCCGACATATTGCAAGTTCTGGAAAGAATTTTAATCTACATAGGTTTTTTTTAAATGGGAAGGGGAGCGAGGGGGGAAAGATTTTAAATATGCTGCATACAATTTGTGATGGTCATCTCTAAAATGCAGCTCCATTATCCTTTTCCATTTGGAATGAATGAGGCTAATTAATTTCAGGCCATACTTGATGAGGTCAGCACCATACGAAGGGTGCGTGCTAGACATTGCTAATCTCTTTCAGCTGAGAGTGATGAATTAAAGATGAAGCATTCCTTTGCAGGCCTAATTTAGAATGTATATCAAAAACCTACAGCAAATAATACTATACCCTACAACAAAGGAAAACTTGTTCTCTCAGGCTCCCATGTAGGGTTGATTTTAAAGGCATTTTCATTTCGCTTTGGAATTCCAGCTGTGGATGGGTGAAACAGTTCAGAAAATTCAAGCTTTCTCTCTTTCTATTGCTTTTATGGACAAAAGTAGGCAAGGGGGGGCTAAGGGGAGAGAGAAACTGGTCCGTGTTTGATCCTGTATATCCTGTGATTCTGACTGTACGCTCGGTGTTTAGGAAGCCAGGTACCTGTGACGTGACACCCCCCAGGGCCACACTCACATCTTACTGTTGGGGTTTCCTAAGTCTGAGGGGAAAGCAGTCAAGGGTCCCCTTTGGTTCAGCATCATCCCAAGAATGTTTTGTTGGACGTTGCAGGCAGGAAACAGGACGGGTCCAGCAGTTCTGCTGGGTCACCCAACAAGGACAGGAGCTTCCAAGCCCTCACAGAGCTGTCATCCTCCCTAGGGATAAACACCTCCCTATGCCAAAAGATCCCATCACACCTGGAAGTGCAGATAGCAAAACTGAATGGAACAAATCACTGTGAAAGCAGCCAGGTCTGGGAGCAGTACAAATTGTTACACAGCTCCCAAACTGGCTGGAGTTGAGGCTCAGCCAAGCTTTGCCACCTTTCCCTCAAGGCAAAGCCACCCACAAAGTCCATAGGGATTTTCCCTGCACAAGGGACTGCAGGATTTGTCCCTGTGGGCAGCAAGAAGCTGAACTGTCATTTCGTAAAATAGAGACTTATGAAATCCTAAGCCAGTCTCAGAAGGAGGCTGCAAACAACAGACCAGCGTCCTCCCCACCACTTCTCTGTTCAATACCTGGCAGTTTCTTGGAATTCTTGACAGGTTGCTGCAGCGAGTCGGAGTTCCCAACTGGTGGCCATAAGCGGCTGCCGTCTTTGTATCCCAGTAGTCCTCATTAGAACAAAGCTGCTTCGAATTAAATCCAATCTACATGCCGAATCAATCTTTCAACCCTTTGATTGCTTCTGAAAATATTTATACTTCTTAATAATGCACATTTTGTCCCAAAGCCTGTGATTAAACCCAGACAAGGTCCGGAGAAGCCTGAAGTATATGTGGAAGGGGTTATTTTGGACAGGAAAAGAAAGATAAAGACACAGGTTTTTCCTATTGTGAAATCATTAGTGTGTATAAATCTAGCAATTGCAGTTGTATAAGCATCAGAGTGGGGTTGTAATAAATACAGATTGGAGTATTATAGTAACCAAATGGAGTTTATGGATTATGTTCACTAGTTCATATTTCTCAGCTACTACAACCTAACTAGCTTCATGCTGCACTCACCTCTGTTAATATTCCCTATTAATATTCTCTTTACATGTTTGTGGGGGGAAAAAAAAGTTAGGATTCTACTGCTGCTCTGTGTAAAATAAATATGTTTAAAGAATCATGCCCTCCAAAGAAAAAAAATAAACACAGGGATGCTGCAAAGCGACTGTGCTCGAAGGGCACAGGCTGTGGCTGGCTGAAATCATCCCCATTCTGCTGAAAGTTAATAACTTCCATCTGAGTGGGATCTGGTCCTAATGCAGGGCATTTGCTGTGTGAAAATTGGGGTGTAAAAATGAAGAAAACAACTTCTGCTATCCCTTACCCTGGTGAATTTTTAGGGTGGTAAATAATAAGCTTTGGCTGGAGATGAGAAACGCACAAAGGCTTTGAAACTGGGCTGTGTGGTAAACAGTGTATTATTCCCTTCTCAAAAAGCAACATGCACCACAGGTGAGACATGAGGAGATGAAGGGAAGGAAACAATCCTTGGCTAAGAAGTAACCCAGATAGGGCCAGATCCTCCGGAGTGGGGATCTGCCATCGATTAAGAAAGTGGTGGTGGCTGGGGACGCAGATCAGATAAAGGCTCTGTACCTGTCTCCCTCCCCTAAACACAAATGACTGCCCTTGTCTCTAAAAAAAGGGAAAAATTGACTTTGGAAAACACATGATGATAAATCTCCTTGGATATAGTACGCAGTGTCTGGGTGAGAGGGAAAGAAATCCTAGAAACTAAAAGTATGTAAAGCTTATTTAATATCATTGTCTTCAGCAGCATCAGATTGTAAATGCAGATAATATTCTTCAGGAGTGGGCTGGTATATGCTTGTGGTAGTTTTGCTTGTGACAGTTTCCCCTTTCATAAAGGAGAGAAAGAAATATTCTCAGCTAAAATATTATTCACTGACTCTTTCATCACGTAGTTCATTATATTAAGTTGTTATTTCCTAAATATGTTGGGGGGTGGTAACATTATTATACATATATCCTGAGTCATGATGGCTGTTTTGCATTAATGTATGATTTGGATGCTCAGTCTTTCAGGTAGAGAGAAGGGGTGGGTATATCATGACCATAAATAAGGGGAGAGCAGAGATTGAAAAAACCTCTCATAAATAGGGATGGGTCCAAAATCTAAAGACACTCATGAAAATCCATTTTGGATCAGAACCCATCAGAACTCTGTACTATATAACCAGCATTTCCTGAGTATCTTCTATTGTTTGACAACCCTCATTTCACACTGAACTTGGAGTTCATTTCTGAACAGAAGCTTTTTGTACAGAAACTTTTAATCATATCCTTTAGTGAACACACACATACCATCGAGGATATTGTCTTATTAAAGAGTTTAAGCCTAAAGGTGCATGCCTACTTTTAAAAGAAATTTTCTGATTGTAGATAACTGCTCAATTTGATTTAGTGTCCAATGATAGTGATGGGGTTGATAACTGAGCATTCATCGGTAATTCATCTTGTGCTAGTAGAAATTTACAGCAAAGCAGTGCTTTCCCAACACTGACAAGTCCTATTAATCTTCTTCAGACACATTTCAATAGGTGTCTCCATCTGTGCCCAACATCTAAACACTCTGGCATCACTGGGGACTTGGAGACACCTTCATTTCAGGTTACACTAGTGAAAATGTGATACTAGATTGTACTCTATTTTTAACCTAATTCTCCCTTTTCATTCAATTAGCCTTTCTTGCCTGCATTTTTCTACTCATGTGTAACATCCTTTTCCCAGGAATAGCTTAAAAATGAGATTTAGTTACTTAAAGAGACAGAATCTGCCAGGACAAGAGCAACCAGGAGCTCAGTACAGAAAAGCAGAATAACAAAGCTCAGGGACACAGCGTGGAGACCGAATTGCCACTCACCAAACACATCCCGAGCAGCATTCCCACAATATTCCCCTCCTGATGCACCTCTTGCAGGCACCACTGGGTTAGGACAGGTCTGAAACTAAAGCTGAAAACAACTGCAGGATGTTTGGGTGTTGAAATCCCAAACAGCTCTGTTTGTTCGTGCTGCACGGGGATCCCCAGCATCCATCCCCACTTCGCTCTACATAGACAACTAATGCATGAACAAACACAGAGCAGTCAAATTACAGCAGTAACATTTATGGGTGGATTATGTTCCAACTTCCTCACTTATTATTAAAAGCGAGTAAATTGTGAAGCACATGGAAGAGGTAGGGTGCAAATGCAGGCGAATTTCCACTCTGAACCAAATGTTGTTTTTTCACTTTCAAAGCTGCAATGAGTTTGCGAGCAGACGCAGCACAGCTTTAAAGCTTACTCATTCAAAAATGTGTGTTTGGGTTCCTCTTTTTTTTTTTTTTTTCCCCTCTCCCCTCCTTACTCCATTTACGTTTGCCTTTCAAAGAGGAGCAGATGCACACCATTTGGGTTTGGGTGGCTCCTACTTGCTCTGAACTTTCTGAAAAGAGCAAACCGTGAGCCGTGCGTCTGCTCCGCGCCTCAGAGGCAGTTTCAAACTTTGTTTCTGGCTTTATGAAGTTCTCTCGTGAGTCGTATTATAGATCTAAATGACCTTATTGTAGGTGGCAAGTTTAAATGTGCCATATTAATAACTTGTTATCCAAGACAAATTAAGTCCTTATGTGTCAAAAGCACTCTGTTCTGGATTACCTACAAGACAAGTATTTATTGAATAAACGTTGGATCCAATTTCATTTTAATGTGACTGACTGTATGCTGCAGCCCCTCAGAACGAGATAAAAACACTCAAACCTACAACTGTGTTGCAACATTACACCTAACTTGTCTATTTCTATTATTGTCTTTTTAACATGGGATCTCAAAAGTGTTTGGGGGGTTTAAGGATTTATTATTATTATTGTTATTATTTTTTTCTGAAGAGCAAGGAGAGAGATAGAAAAAAAGACTGGCATTCAGCCTAAAGAGAAATCATTGAAACAAATTAATCCTATGCCGTTTAAATTGACATGGTAATCCATCATCAGCAAAGGGAAACTCTGAAAGCAATCTAGAATCTGCAGTGTTCTTTCACTGGCCCTCAGGCACAAAGACAGATAGTAAAAGAGGAAGGGGGGAAAAAATCATAAAAGTTAGCAGCACCTTAGCATAGGGAAGGGCTAGAGAAAGCAGCTTTCACTTTTTCCTGCTTTCAAGCACCCAGCTCAGAGAGCAGTGCTGATTAACCTTCAGTCACTGCCTGCTAACGTTTACTTGTGTGTCAGATCATCCTCAGCTGCTGGGATAGGAGTTATTTCAAATAGTGCAGAGCCCCTATCCTGTATAAACTCCACCATTGAAAACTCTGCCAAACATCAACTTGGGCATTTCTGCTTACAGAGGGCCTTTTATTAGCCTAAACTTGATCATTCCAAATGGACAATAAATTCTATCTGCAGAGCCCTGCAGAAAATAGCTGTACTATCCTTGGGAGTTTAATAGCCAGGATTTTCATAGAGCTAGCATGAAAAAAACTGGGGGGGTTTATTTGGGTTTGGACTCAGGGTATTTTTTTGTCTATCCCCTGCTTTCTCAGTGGGGCTATCCACTATAATATATGTCTCCCAAGAGATTTTTCAAACTAGTTTTAAATATCTAAAGTGATGAGACTTTGTGCACCTTTAAAATTTTATTAGACTTACGGTCAGAAGAAAACATAAACCTCTTGGGCCTTGAAAGCCCATTGCAATACAGCCATTATCCCTATAATGTCAACAGAGCTACAAAATTCTCTAGAAATAAACCTTTTAAGAACAGCTTTGCCTGCTTCATGTTTTCTTTTAAGGTCAGTGGTGCATCACTTTTTTGGAAAGCGTTTCCCCTCTCTGGCCAGGTTTAGCAATGTGAAATAGAATGTATATTACTAAATGAATAGGTTTAATTTTAGACACTGAAAAAATAAATAGAAGAAGAGAGCCAGGGCAGGAATAATACCTTTCAGTTAGAAACAGACATAGTAGAAAGAAAAAGTCAGAACTTTAGTGCCAGGGGCAAAGGGGTGAAAGGCTGCCTAATATGAACCATATCCAACATCTGCCCTATTTTAATTTAGCAGGGATAAAGTTTCTTCTTTTTTATTATTAAGAAAACTTTATGTGGCAGAGAAACCCATGAGCTATGTTATCAAAACTGTTTTATTGTCACACTGAAACTTAGAACTATTAAGAATTGGCGGGGCAAAGAGATAAAAACTCCCCTTCTCTCTCCCTTTATACTCTGTGACAAGCCTGGGCTCGGGTCCTGCTGACTGGGATGTCCTTTTCATGTCTTTATGAAGTACTGCACTTGGGGCTATAATATAAAGGGGAGGTTAATTGTTCAGGATGGGTCCAAATGATTGATTTTCCAGGTTAAAAATAAATAAATAAATAAATTTTAAAATCTGAATATTTAAAACAAAATCCTGAGGCGGTGGTCGCCCTCAGAGGTGAGCAATGGTGGTGGTGCACAACAAGTGTAAAGAAGGGCTGGGCTGGGGATCTGTATGAGAAACAGCCCAAATTGCCAGGCTGGAACATGATCTCATTCCATCTAAAAGTTTTCCACCTCAACAGTGCAAATTCCACTATAAAATAACAAAGTGTACCAAACCACATGTGAGTAGCTGTAGGAGTAAGAGAGCAAATTGGTTTCTGACAAAAGAAGGATGAATACCTTCGGATAATCTAAAGTTAAAATTTGATTGAAAGCATAACATTCCTCTAAGCATCAATATGCTTAGGATCCAAAATATGGTTATTTTATTACCAGTTAATACTTAGATCAAAGCAAAACACTGTAGCTGGAAGGGACATTCTCTCTGGAAATAAAGTTCCATGTAATTATTTCCTATTAAAAACTAAAACTGGTCTTAGATTCAAAAATTTGGGCTTCCTTACATGTGATATAATGCAAGCTTGTCAAGAGAGAGCAGATGTACTATTTTTCACTGTTTGCTGGTATCTCTTTGCTTTAAAGTTTTTGCTTTAGCTTTAACCCTTTGAATGTGAAAGATTCTCATCCAATTTACCTCCGTCAGACCAGGACGACTGTTTTGGATTATATCAACTCATTTCTTTCGATAAGAAATTAGGATTTGATATAAACTAACATCATTTTAAATAAAGCCTGCAAATGTAAGGAGGTGAAATCTAAAGAAAATGATATGGCAATGGGTAGGCAGCTGAAAGTTAAATATTAAATTGTAAACAAAGGTTTTACTCTTGGGCAAAACAGCTCATCTTAATTCAGTTCGAGACATGGAGTTTAAAATATGCACTCAAAATACTTCCAAGAAAGCTGCAACCTTTCAGAGGAGAGAGATAAGAATGTATTTTAATTATGAGGTTATAAATATGCGATAGATTTAATTTTTTTTTTTACCAACTCCGAATGTGCTACGTAACATTGTTCAGATGCAGTTATACATTTATCTGTCTGTCTCTATTCCTGTCCAGGGCTTTGCTTTTATTTTATTCTTTTTTATTTTTTTCCTCCTGATAGCTCAATCTCTATTTATGGCATCGTTGAGGCAGGCCCTGGGAAAAAAAAAGAATCTATCCTTCTGTATTTATAAACCACCACAGAATAAATAGGGAATGGTTCCTTTTTACAGCTGAAGGGCTGGTATTATAAGTAGCAATATGAAATATTTAGACACATTATTTCAAGCTTCCCGGCTGCTTCTGATTCTGCTAATTATTTTTGATCTGTCACTCAGAAATAAAAAAATAAATAAATAAAACTTTAAAGAGTTCATTAGGACTGCAGAAAGGAAGAAGAGTCAGATATAAGGCAGCAATTATAATTTGGTTTTAACATGTTTTTTTTATTTTTTGCTGACTCCTCAGCTACATTGTTTAGTAGAAGGATGGCTACAATATACTTCTACATTAAAGCCTGTTAAATAGGGAAGAAGCTGAGACATTCAGCTGGGATATTGTTTGCTAGCTCAATTAGTATCCCAAGAATTTGAAAGTACAATAAATGTATCTGAAGATCATATCTAAACATACTTACCAAAAAGTACCCACCTCTCTCAGCAGTTCACATATTTCTGCCTTCTAACTGGGAGGGGGAAAAAAAAGAAAGAAAGAAAAAAAAGGCAGTTCGATGTGTAGGTTAAGATTGGCGTGTGGCAAGGTTTGTGTGAGATACAAAGAAATCTGTATTTCACTCAACAATTTCATTGCTTAAACATATAGTTTAGAAGCATCTTTTCCTTAAACATGTGGTTCAATAACATTTTCTTCAAAGGAACAACTCAGTGTGTTAAAAGATTTAAGAACAAAGAATGTGCTGCAAAATGCAAATTCCTCCAGTGTTACACTGTGTATGCAATTATGTATGTAGGCAGATAGATATAATTTGAGAGTTATTAACTTTCAACATCAATGATGTACCCTGAATCAATACAATGTAACTACCTATTAAAATATAAACCAGGTGTGTTCCCAGGCAAATACAGTCTGAGAAGCTTCTCTAGAATTTTTTTTTTTCCTTTAAAGATTACAGCTCTGCTGTGGACAAGAAGCTCAAGAGATTGGTGCTGGTCCTAAAGATGGAGATTGCTTTGCTTTTTGCTGATGGTTCTAGAATGTTTCATTTCCTCCACGTTTGGAACAAAAAAAAAAAATTAAAAATAATAAACAATAATGAAATGTTGTGAAGGGAATGAATTCCCTCACAAACATCCGTACATTTATACACCTCCGGATGCATAGGAAACAGAAAAGTTCCCCATTTCCATCTTTCCTTTGACTGAAGGGAGGGAATGAAGGGAGCAAAAATCATTTTAAGCTTTGCCCTCCCGGCGGATCGACCCCTCTTGCAAATCCCTTTCTCCCGGCCGCCCTCCCTCGCTCCCCCGAGCACACAGCCCGGCGCAGTTAACCTTGGAGCGGCGCCGGGGAGGGAAGGGTTAATGAAACCCAGCTCTTTACGACCTCCAGGGTCAGACTCTTCCTATCTGCAATCTAAGGAATTAGGTAAGGAGGTTATAAGATTATAGTGAAAGGAGTTATAGGCCCTCGTAGCCTCACACCTGAACATATTGGGCTAATCCACTGGGATTCTTAAAAATCGCTTCAGCTATGGAAAACTGTTAATTAGGCTGAGTCTGTCCCGAGGTTTCCTGTTGCATTAGAGATCCAGCCGAGCTGCCTGCACTCCATAGGCTCGCATGAAATGTTCTTAGTGTGCCTAACTTTCTGTCCCTTCTCCACGACTGAAATCAGCATCAGCCCCTGATTTCGGGGTTAAAAAAAAAGAAAAGCTGGGGGAAAATTCAGCCCGAGAGATGAACAAAAGTCAACCCCCTCCGGTCCCTGAGCCCTGGGTGCCCGGCAGGCTATTTGCAGCTGTTTCTAACTTCAGTGTTTGTTTACAGTAGCAAAATTAGCACTTGGAGGAGAAGTGAAAAGCTGTTTTCACATCAGTTTTACTCCTCGGTTCCTAGCTTGAGATGCCTTTCCTCCCTCCCAGCAATCAGCATCATTTAAAGTGCGGTACAAACTTTCTCTCGCTGCTTTGACTTAGTTCTCTGCAGTCGCATCCTATTTTCTGCTAAAGAAAACTACGCGGAGAGAAGGTAGCATGTGAACACGGGCCAAACATCACGGATTCGAGGCAAAAAAATAATAATCATAATCCCGAGCATCCCCACAGAACGTATTTCAATGTCGCATGGCAGAGCCCTGCCCTAGTCCCAGCTTTCTGCCCTTTGGCACTCAGATATTTGCTTGTCTCCAGCAAAGTTTTCTTTAATCCGCCGAGACACCCCAGGGCTGTACCTGAGCCACGGCTAAATTGCTCCCTACAACCGATAAAATCCTGCAGCAGCAACTCCCCAGCTTCAATACTTAAAGCAAGGGCTGGTTTTAGCCATTTTGTCATTTGCAGAAATGCTGAAATTTTTTTTGTTTTTTTAAATTTTTTCCTATGCCACTTGTGGTCACCCTCGAATGGCAGTAATCTGTAGATTACATATTACGAGCCTTGTCATTACGTGGATAAAATGAGGTGGTTAAACGCTAAAATCCATTTTACTCACCACATTTGCTTGTGGGGAGGGAGGGGGGCGGGAAGGAGAGGGGAGGACAAACTTGTAGGAGAAGGATTTAAACCCCTCGGATGGGAGCTGGATGTGCTGTCAGAGCCCTCTCTGCCTGGTGGGTACACGGGCTGGGCACCCCTCAACTTCACCTCCAAGGCAGGCGCCCGATCACTCCAGCCCTCTCCCTCGCTCCTGAGCCTTTTGTCCCCATTTTCGTGGTATCTCAGCTTTGCTCCACAGAGGCGACTTTTCTCTGCCTCTCCTGGATTTGCTCTGTAGCATTTCTAGGCTCCTACTCTCCAGCTCTCCCCCCGTTTGCCTCTTTCATCTGTGTCCCTGATCCCTCTCCAGCTGATGTGATTCTTTAGAAATGTGGGTCTTATCCCGTCCCTACCTTTGCCGGCTCTGATTAGATATTATTTTTTCATTGGCTCTGCTACAATGGGTTCCTCCCTTTAATCTCTCGGTATATTTTCCCCCTCCCGGTATAACCAAATCCATGAAATTCACAGCCTCTCTCTTTGACACGACTGGTTCGTCTAATCACTCCATATCGATTTCCCTAACTCTTTTCATCCAGCTGAAGACACATTTTAAAACACTCCAAGCCAGAGTGTGCTCTTTGCTTTATACACACTAATAAAATGATTTACCCTTCTCTCTCTGCTCTCCTCACAGGAGAAAATCGTTCAAGTCGCGGCTATTTGTGTGTGATCAGTAAATATTTAGTGTGGCGACATCCTCAGCTCCTCTCCTGATCAATACGCAACCCAACAGGAGGTGGACTATTGTCCGGGTAGTGACTTGCTGAGATCTCCTTTAGATGAATTCTTTGCCCCCCATACTGTCTGTTATGATTTATCCTCGAAGGTGACCAATAAAGAAAAACTGAGTCTCTAAAAACGTCTGTTTCTAACCTGTTTACCGTGCCATTAAAGCACCTAAGCGAGGAATGCCTTATTCATCCCCGTCTCCCACATCCCTGGGATGGGCTGACACACGCAGGGCGCTGCTGGAAAATGGGGATCCAAGCGGGCAGCCCCCGCAGCGCTGCCCTGCATCCCTGAACCCCTCGATCCCCTCTTCCCCGACCCCTCCATAAAACCCCGGCCGCTCTCTGCGCTGCAGTGTCACGGCACTGAAAGGGCGATTCCCCGCTCGCAGCCACCCTGCAGCATCTTCGGGCACAGGGCTGGCTCCCCCAGCTCAGCCTCAGCCGGTGCCAAAGATGTGCCCAGGGATGGAGGGTGCCCCAGCAACTCCCAGCCCGCCTCTCCCCTCCTCTTCATCGCATCCCGCGGCTCTGCCTGCCCCAGGACCAGGCTGAGGCAGGGCTGCTGGGGGCTCTGTGGGATTTTTGTTTGTTTGTCTGGGTCTTTTTTGTTTGGGGTGGTTTTTTGGAACGACATGGAAAAGCTTCAGTGAAGGAAAATAATAATAATAATAATAATGGGAATGGAGAAGAGCTTAAAGCCCGTTTCCTGTGGTTAACCATAACGAGAGCTTTCCCAGAGTGATAAAATGGGCAGCCAGAGAAGTTCGCGTGTGTTTGTGTGTGTTTTATCCTGATCTGCTATTTCACTCCTGGGAAAGCCAATACCTCCCCTTGCAATTACCCCAGGAGTGTGCTGTGCCCGCTGAGGTGTCCGAGGCAGCAGTGCCTGCTGTGGGTGCCTGTCCGAGGCAGCCTGGGTGCCTCCACACAATGGCCACACAGTGATATCTGCATCGTCTCTGTGTGCTCGCTCACATCGTGTCCTGCAGCTCACAGAGGTGCCCAGATATTTATTTTATCCCCGTGCGTGTGCGTTTGCACCTCAGCTCTAGGTCGAAGGCGTTTGTCTCTGCAAATGGACATTGCCTGCACAGGCGCTGCACAAATCCGGGGCTGTGTATTACAGATGTGCGACTGTTATTCAAATGTAAAACCAGCTACATCCACCTGTTAACTTTGTTTAGAAACCACTTTCACTAATGGCTTTTCTCTAACTTATTCAGCCCGTTACTCGAGTATAGGAGGCAATGGAGGGGAAAAATCCATATGAAACCCTGCTCACAGGCTCTCTTCGAGAGGACAGTTTCCACACCTTGCCCAGACAGGGCTCCTATAGAGCGCTTATCTCTCGAATATATCTTTATACTAATGCATACTTAATTGGTCTGTCTTGACTGTCCATATAAAACAATTTAATTAGGGTGCTTTCTGCTTTGGAAAGAAAGAAAAAAAAATCTGCCCAGCATTTATTGTATTTAGCACCAATACAGGCAGAAAATGTTGCACAAGTTTTTGGTTGAAAGAGCACCTATGTGTCCATTGAAGGGCGTTGATCCGAAAAGACAGAGAGGACAAGTAAAATCGATTTGAAGCAACCCTCTCTGTCCCTTTCACACCATTCAGACACTCCATTCCTTCTAAGACAAAGACCCAGCGCCTTGGGAATGCTGGCAAGGCGGGGGGGGAGGGGGGGGGAAGGAGGAAAAAAGGAAAAAAAAGAGGGGGAAAAAAAAGGAAAAAAGCTTCAATCCCCCCAAGCGAAAGGGAGAGCTCTGAAATTCCTTCATATTGCTGTTATTTACCCCCGAAGATATGTTCAACTCCAGGATTTTCTTCAATTCGGCTTCTAACACTGCTGCTGCGAGGAATGTCCCTGGAAGGGGAGGAGGTAATTATGGCTATTAGTGCTGCGAGCCCAGCCGCAACCTTGGTCACTCGCAGGCTTTTAGGGTTAAAATAGCCCTCACCTCTGACCCCTGCGGAGCAAAGTTGTAGCTATTGCCACAAGTTGGGCCAAAGTTTTCAAATCCAGGGCTGGGCAACACCGGAGGGGGCAAACTTCTCCCTGGAATTATTTTTGGTTAGGATTTAAATCATCTTTAGTCTATTTAATTGCCTTTCCCTCCTCCTTTGGCCAAATAATCCCTTTCGGAGAGGTGGGGGGGATTTCAAAACGCCCTGCTCTCACTACCTTTCCCACTGCTCTTTCCATTTAGGTTTAATTTGGCAGATTGTTTTCAAGCATGAAAATGGTTATCATCAAACTGAATTACTGGGTCAGCCTTTCATCCAGAGATCTCAAGAATAAAAGGGGGGGCCAGGGGGGGTCTGGCAGGGGTGTCCCCCCCTTTAGGCTTTCCCCGCCATGACCCGTTCAGCTTTACAAAATAAAGGAGCTTTTGGGAAAATGAAGAAAGGACAAAAAGCTTGGATTTGTCTCCTGTGCTTTCTGCACACCTTCACGATCCTCCTGTGCAAGGGGGGATTTTGGAAGGGGGGGCAGGGGGGTGCTCAAATTGAGGAGGGGAGGGAGCCCACAGATGCAAGTACCCCTCTGGCAATAATAAAAATTCATTCAAGTGGGCTATGTCTCCATCTTCCATGTACTGATTAGACTTAACAAGAGTGGAAACTTGTGTAGACCATATTTATGGTATTAACAAGCAGTTAAAAGATTTATCCTTCTTCTGATCAATATTGTTCGTGCCCGGTCCTTCCCCCCCACCCCCCGGGCCCTCCCCGAAGGCTGCAATGACAATCGCCTTCATACTTTTTCATCACCGATCGAGGTGGCAAAACCCTTTTGTAATTTTCATTAGCCCAGTAAACATGCAATTAACATGCAGCACTGTGGTTAACTTAATTCCTGTTTTAAGGCAAGGACAAGCAAGAAATGGAAGAGCGTTTGTTCCATTTGTCAAGTATGACACACTCCCTACCCTAACAGTTTCTTAAAATAAAAGCTCGGCTCCCCACCACCACGACCACCACCCCTCTTTCCAGAAACCCCCCACACTGATACACACACACACACAAAAAGGAGCAGGAATCCATTAGTTGGAGAGTATTCTCCTGCCAAAGGCGGTATAATGTATTCCAAATTTTCCCAAGCCCTCACTGTACCGGGGTCCCGTTCCCCCCACTCCCCCCTCCCATCCCGGGGAAGGGGGCTGACTCGCTGATATTTCTCGTGGGTGAAAGATTCAGCCTTTTCCTAACCGTATTTTTTTTTTAATAAAATAAAACTAAACGTGCTTCCCATTACTAAAAGTTGCCATGTTTGTGAAGGGGGTGGGGAAAAATGTCTCCAAGGGTTTCAATTAGCAACAAATGATTATTGCAACGGATTTTTGGTAATGAAAAAATGTGGAGTACCTCTTTCGAGCTGGGATCTCAGGGGCAGTGAGAGAGAGAGAGAGAGGGGGAGAGGGAGAGAAGGAGAGAGAGAGAAAGAGATTGCTGATTAGCTCGGATTCTTTCCCAACTTGCTTTAGCGTGTGCTTGCGTTCCCTGCCGACCCTACACAGGACACTATATATTTTTTCCCCTTCGGTGCATGTGTTGATAGTCCAGCCTGTAGTTGTTTGCGGTTGGCTTTTTTTTTTCCTTTTCGTTTTTTTTTTTTTTTTCCTGCCGGGGAGGGGGGAGGTGGGAAAGGGGGGGAGGGGGGGCTGAAATCCGTCGCATCCATCCTACCCCATAGTCATTAACTTAGGAGATTTCCCTCTCTTATTTTTTTTTTTTCCCCAATTGGGAGGGAGGGTTGTGAATTTTTTCCCCCCTTTTTTTTTTTTTTTTTTAAAGTCTCGCCTTTCCAGCTCCAAACAAGGTGTAGCGAGACGCTCTTCCTTCTAAGGAATGAAATGAGACAAGGATCACTCAAAGACATCTCCTACCTTGGGCTTGGGGATTTTTTCTTAAAGGCAAGGCGCACATTCCTAAGCAGCTGTGTACAAAGCCCCCCCTGAAATCTTGTCTGTGTAAAGTTAGAGTGTGTTCAGGGTGTTTTTTTTTTCCTCTCTCTCCCAAGGCTGATCGCTAATAATACATCGAAAGCACTTCCCTTTAGGTTGTGGGAAATCTATTCCCTTCACCTTGCTTCCTTTTTTTCCCCCCCTGAAGGCTGTAACTTTACTTTTTTTTTCTCTCTCTCTCTTTTTTTTTTTTTTTAATCAGTTTGCACAATCGCTTAGATAAACACCAAGAAGGAGACTTCTCTTTAATTACCCAACGCACATCTTTCTGGGGGGCAAACAGCGGTCTGATTTTTTTTTTATTTGTTTGTTTCACCTGCCAAACTAAAGGAGAGGTAGAAAAAGGAAGATGCAAGCGATTTGGGACCTTGAACAAGGCAAATATGGTTTTGGTATGTTTACTTATAGTTTTTTTTCTTCTTCTTTGACACTTTTTTCGGGCAATGTGTTGTGATTCTTGTGTTTCTCTTTTAAGGAAAACAAAAAATCCAAAAAAGCAAATGTTAGCTAACGTGCGTCTTAAACGATCGTTTCTAAGGTTACGTGGGTTGCTCTAAGGAGGGGAAGAGGGGAGGGGGGCAGACCCAAGTATGTGTAATTGCAGCACCATCAGTTAGCACGTCCTTTAGCTAAATAAAGCAAAGCAGCAAACAAACAAACAAGCGAACAAACCCAAGGACCGGACCCGGCTTCCAGGTCCGAGGCGAAGCGCCTCCGAGTCATTTCCCCGGGAGCAGCGGCCGGGCGCTGCCCGGAGCCGGGGCTGCTCGGGCGGAGCGCGGACCGACCTGCTCCGGAGGGTGGGAGGGCACGACGAGGCTCTTAACTTAAGTGATAGGTATTAAACTGACCGGGATCGCGTCGCTCTGTGCTCTATTTGGGAGGGGGGGAAAGGGAAAAAAAAAAAAAAAAAAAGGTTGGTGGGGAAGGTAGAGCGCCGAGATCCCCTCTCCCCCTCCGGTCCCTTCCCTGGCTAAGCAAGTACAATGGAAAGAAGCTGGAATATACTCACCATCCGAAGGTGTGGTTGGCAGTTCGGCTGAGGCTTTAAGGCAATTATTTATCCTTTTTTTTTTTTTTTTAAGTATTATTGCAAAAGACGTAGATCTGACTTTAAGCAGCAGAAGTGTTTTGCTCTGACAACAGCAAGCGAGGCTCGGATCCTCGTTAAAAAAAAAAATCACAAAACAGGATCTCCCCCCCCCATCCCTTACCACTATCCCTTAAAAATACCTATTCGGCACAGCTCTCGCAGAAACCCTGATGCAGAAATCTTATAGTCCGGTCTAGGAGTGCCCAAGCCAATTAATTTTAAATCCTTAGGAATTAATCAGATTAAAATGTACAGAAGTTTCATTCTCGTATGCATACGTGAGCCAAAAGTCGTTTCCCTTTAAGAGATCCTTTTCTTTTAAAGTTGAATTTTAGGCAGATAAGAGACTTACACTAGGGGGCAGCCAGATACTGTACTTGCTCCAATCTTAAGCAATTTTTTTTCCTCTCTCACAGCATATGCTCTGATTTAGCACTGTAAATTTTTCAGAGGACCCAACTCTGACAGCCCCTGGTGATTTTCAAAGTACCACAAGCCAGTGGTTAAAAATTGCATTGACTTGGAAGTTCAGAGGCACACAATAGGAGCCACTTTCCCTATTCATGGAACTTCAGTGTGGTGGAAGAGAAAAACACACACATACTACATTGAGGGAGAAGAGGAATTCATTGAATTCTGTTAGACGTAACTGCTTTCCACTGAGTTCAGAGCGAAACTCGGTATTTGTTCGATGCTGTATTCATATTGCGATTTAATCTAGAAAGAATTAGAGGACTGTTAGGCAGCTTTCTGCCAGGAAAGCAGCTTCCCCCTCCTTCCTCCTCTCTTTTTTAAACCTAAAGATTTACACCGGCTCTATCCCCAACTCAATTTTAGCAAAATAAATCCTTCCACTCCCTCTCATTAAAATAAATTTACATCTGCAGTAAAATGGCAGGAGGGATGCGTTTGTTTATTTGGAAAGCCAACACGGTCTCACTTTTAAACCAGAGCATTTCTATTGTCATTAGCCTCGGAGAAGGACAGTGGAGAATCTCCCCCTTCCTTGCGAAGCGCTCAGGTTTCGAGGATTATTTAGCGAAATTAGCTGCAGTTCATTTTTACATTCATCTCTTCTGTCTCAACCCACTCGCAGGGGTGTTTTCAAATAAATAGCAAAGCATCTAATGGTGCTAATAGATAGTTATATCGCTGCATCCCTCGAAGAGCAAATAGTTAATCTGGGGCATTCTTCATTAATGCTTGAGCAATCAGCGTATACGGCGGCTTTTAAGCGTATATCAATGGTTTCTCATTTTTACGATCATACGTTCAAACTATTAATATTGTGCGTCCTGTTAAAACCGCTTTCTCTTCTGATTTCTGCATTTGTTAGGACGGCGTTTATGTTTTTTCATATGGTGAATTAATCCTGTTTACTTTGTCAGATTCGAGACAGGAAAGGTTGGTGTTGGGTTGTGGTTTGGGTTTTGGCTTTTATTTTTTTCCTCAGGAAATCCAACATCAGCAACAATCTGTGGCTATTCTGCATTTTGAACCCCCACCTTCTCCTTCCCTCCCCGAAAGGTCACCTCCTCAGCTCTGGCTTGTTTGGAAATCATAAGGCAGTTCCCCACATTTTAACCAGGAAAGATTCCTTCCCCACTTTCTGCCTTCCCAGTCCCTCCTGGTCACTCTTTCGGGTAAAGGTTATTTTTTGCTCAGTGAGGATCAATGGGAACGCTGCAGCCTTGTCTTTGAAATTGAGTGGCAAAAACCTCTTCGCCCGTGGGCTCTGAACACACCAGGTTTCCCTGCAGGACACTCTCAAGTCGAGGTGCTTTTTACAACTTTCCAACCATGTCCGCACCTGCGGCTTCAGCCACATGTATTATTTCTGCGGCAGAAGTGTGTGGGCATGTGGCAACATGAAAAAGTGTGTGTGAGGAGGTGAGGGGCAATTAATCCCTTACAGAGTTGTGCCCAGGTCTGTGTCCCCGCGGCCGTGCTTGGTGACCGGCTGGGATGTGAGCGCTCATAGACGCGTGTGTGGCAGAGGAGGAATGGTCCGGCCGGGCATTTATCTGTCTGTGTTAACGTGTTTTCTATTTTATCTCTCCGTCCCTTCGCTTGTTCGAGTGTCTTTTGGCCATTTTCACCGGGAGACGGACTCGAGTCCCCGCTCCGCTGGCCGGTAGCTCCATTCAGCGGGAAATAAACACGTCCCCGTGCTTAGCTCTGTTACCTGCTCGTGGTACAGAACGCAGGTCGTGTTACGGTGTCGGGCTGCGTGCGCTCACGAAACCCCCGAACCCGCAAAACCCCGAAATAAACTTAAAGGGGTTGAGCCGAGCCACGCCGCGGCGATGCCGTGCGAGAGGCGCGGCTGTCACGCTCTGCGGAGCGGCGAGCCGGGCTTCGGAGGAGTCTGGAGCGGAGCCGCGGTGCCCTCGCTCCGGGGCGAGCGGGAGCCAGCAGCGGTCGGGCGGAGCGGCGGAGCCCCCGCGCCGCGCCGGGGCCGGGCTGTGCGAGCGGCCGCTCCCNGCGGCCGCGGCGAGCGCAGGTGCCCGGAGCGGCTCCGCTGTGAGACCCCGCTCCGCGACCGCTTTTCGGGCAACCCGCGGCCGCCCCTTCCCCGCAGCGCGGCGGCAGCGCCGGGGCTCGGCTTTACTTTATTCCGTGGAGTTTTACCTCGGTTTAGCGCCTGCTTCCCGCTTGGCACCCGCCGCCCCCTCCGACCCCCGAGGCCGCGCCCCGGCGGGCAGCCCCAGGTGAGGCGGCGGCGGCGCCGCGCTCCGCTCGCCGGGCTCGCCCTAACCCCTGGCCCCGG